ACCCCGTCTAACTACCTGATCGTCTCTCTGGCTGTGACCGATCTACTTGTTGGGATCGTAGTCTTTCCTCTGAGCATGTCTTTCTCTCTCAGCTACTGTCTGTATTACAGAGACTTATTCTGCAAAATACGAGACAGCTTCGATGTCATACTGAGCTCAACCTCCATTTCAAATTTGTGCTGTATTTCTGTGGACCGATACTATGCAGTGTGTCAGCCTCTAACATACAGATCTAAGATAAACACTGGTGTTGTTCTGGTTATGATCCTCATGAGCTGGGGAATTTCCATACTTGTTGCTGTCGGTTTTATTATTGTAGAGATAAATCAGGGAAAATGTCAAGAAAATTGCTTTTCTGATGCTGTGCTTGAAAAGGTTTTTGCCCCCATGATCTCATTTTATCTCCCAGTGACCATAATGCTGTATATATACCTGAGGATATTTCTTGTTGCACAAAGACAGGCTCGCAGCATCCAGACTGCAGTAGAGTCTGGGGCAACTGTGAGTAACATGGAAAGAAAGGCAACCAAAACTCTGGCTATTGTTCTAGGAGTTTTTCTGATGTGCTGGCTGCCTTTCTTCCTCTGTTTTTCCCTCCAGTTGTTGGGTGGTGTGTCAGTGATGGTGTATGAAACCCTTAACTGGCTTGCACTGTCAAACTCAATGCTCAATCCATTCATCTATGCTTTCTTTTACAGCTGGTTCAGGTCGGCATTCAAAATGATAATGTCTGGAAAAATCTTTCAAGGAAATTCAAACGCTAAGCTATTTTAATACAATTTAAATCAAAGAAGCAGATAACCCTCCAGTCTGGAACATACTTGTGAAAAATGTATCATATCTGATTTAAAAAGTTTAATGGAGTCTTTTTTTAGATGACTCTTATTTACTTCGTTTATGGCATGCTGATAATGTAACATCATATAATTTGATCAGGATCTTGTGATGCTTTATGAACTGCAAAACCTATACATTTATATTGTAATTCATTAAAGTCCTGAATGTAAGGTAAGAGTTTGTTGTTTTATTATTAATGTTGTGAAGGAAAATATTTCCATCATGAAAACATATGTGTCACCTGTTAATTTAAACAATAAACATATTTAAACTATTTTACCACAATTTGTCTTTCTCCAAATAAATGATTCCCCATTTAAATCTGATTAAGTCATTTGTTATTTTTCTACACAAATAATTTTAAAACTGTCCTTCTTGAAAAGAATTGAATCCAGAATCAGCAGTGCAGAGGTAGAGTGTGCGACCGATGTAATATAACACGGCTAATTTTTTATTTAGCACTTTAGCTCTTAAGCTAATATGAAAACATTTAGCGTACATTTAATTACTACTATTTCAAATTATGCCTTGTGTCAATGGTTTGCATCAAACTGAAATCTACATCTGTTGCATGGGTGACATCCACACGAGGAACCTCTACTTGTGCTCTTTAGAAATGTGCTTGAGAGCATAAACACTATTAACATGCTTTCAGTTGTAAATACCAAATGATGTTATGTGAATGAAGGGTTTGTCACAAAAAATTGTAAATAGTTGAGTAAATAGTTACCCTGAGAAAACAACAAAAGGTCAATAAAAACTTCTCATTGGTCAGCAGGTTCCTCCCTTCCTATTGGATGAGTTTTGGATTTCATAATGTTTGAGCATAATAAGTATCAAGACAAGGTGATTCAGCAGCACAATGACCTGACAGCAAGACTTGACGTTGTTTAGGTGACTTAGATGTGCTAACCAGCTGATGTGAGAAATTAAACTAAGGTATTACTTTTTAAAATAAGGTGGCTTTGTAGTCTGTTAGGTATATGAATGTTATTGATATTTACAGTAATTACAAAGAGCAATGGAAGAAGAAACCGGTTTCTATGTTGGTTATGATTTCCACCCATGTTATGAAATTAACAACGTCTCTAAGATAATGAGGACTTCTTCTACAATATGTACTTTGCTCTACATTTTCCTTGGCTTACTGTCTGTTATTACAGTGTGTGGAAACCTTCTCGTAATAATCTCCATCATTTACTTTAAGCAGCTCCACACCCCGTCTAACTACCTGATCGTCTCTCTGGCTGTGACCGATCTACTTGTTGGGATCGTAGTCTTTCCTCTGAGCATGTCTTTCTCTCTCAGCTACTGTCTGTATTACAGAGACTTATTCTGCAAAATACGAGA